AGGTAGACAGACTGGCAGATGATTAAGTAGACAGAGATGATTTCGTAGATAGTCGAACGGACAGACAGATAGAAAGATCAGTACACAAGCCAACAGATACACAGAGAGAAGGACAGGAAGGCAGGGTAGACAGAGATATAGGCAAATAAATGCATATAGATAGACATATTATATTAAGTACATGTATCTAGTAAAATGACAGACAGACAGATAATAGAGAGATAAGCAGGCAATAAGACAAACAGACATACAGATAGATTGATAGACATGCAGGCCGACAGATAGATAGACAGTCAGACAGACAAACAGTCAGGCAAATAGACCCACGGATAGATAAGAAACGTTTCTTTCTATTTCTCTCTCCACCAGGCGTTCCCCGAGTAACACATCTCACACCAGCGACAGTTCAGCCAGACGGAACAACGACCGGCCACTGGTCAAGGATGGAGGTGAGTCAATGACAAAGTCCTCTCGATCTGACTCTGACCACCAGAGTCGAAAACAGCGCTTTTGAAAAATGTTTTTTTCCCTTCAACTCTGACAACATTTCTAGAGTACTATCAGGTCTGCTGGAGCAATAATATAGATTGTAAAGCGCACAGGGCTTGCTGTTGAGTGGGAATTTCCGCTATACAAGTGCTATTTGTATCTATTTTTATTATAGTGCGGTAAAAAATTCGTGGCGTAACGTATCTTCAAATATCTCTTCAATGGGTGAATCAGTGTCGTCCATACCACAGCAGTTTGTATCAATTTGTCTGAACTTAGTCATATTTTTTCACACAATTGAGGCCAGATTAAAACATTTTTTTCATAAAGTTCTATAAAATACTATAAATCTCCGTCTCGTAGAAAATGGGATTGTTCACAGCACTTCCCGCTTCTTGCACACATTTTGCATTCGCATGGCCTATGTCACAGCTCGCCAATGACACTTTTTAGTGGTAAAATTTGTTGCATGAAATTAATTGTATAATGAACACATTTTTTTCACTAGAGGCTAAACATGCGTTCAATAAAGATAGAGTTACGATTAGATAAAGAGAATGACGGACTTTCTTTTAAAAGCGAAATTGACCCTGCTGTAAACCTTTAACAATCTCTAGAAACCACTCACTTAGATTTTTTATCAGTATTTATTGAACAATTTTCTAGAATACAGCTGACAGGCAGGTGTTTACAAGATTATTGATCTCTTAAGACAAATTGATAAAAAAATTTTACAGGTCAATTTTGCAAAAGCTGGAGAGTCAGTGTACTATAGTTTAGGACATAATTGACATTAAGTTGCATCACGAATTTTTTTTACTATAGTCAAGTTTTTCTTTCCAAGTGGAATGTTCAATGTCCTTCGCTTTCCCAGACAATAGAGCAGTCAGTAAATAACATTTTACACTCAAATTTTTCTTCTTTCTCTTCCAATGTCTTCAGACCCTGACACGTCCACGTCAGACACCCACACACCAATGAACCTGTCCCTCTCAGACCGCGCCTCATCTCCACGTGACACAGACCACGCCCCCTCACGTGATCGTGACGTCATACCGGCCCGGAAGCGGTCACATCACAGTCGCGGGTTCAGTCAGGCTAGCGGAGGTGAGGAGGATGATGGGACGGAAGACGAGGAAGAAGAGGAGGAGAAGCAGAAGAAGAAGAAGAAGAAGAAGAGGGGAGGGAAGGAAAAGAGAAATGTCTCCCCGGATTCCTCCACGCCTTTCAGATCGGCTTCTCGTTTGTCGTCTTCGTCATCGTCGTACTTATCATCTTCATCGTCGTCGTTGTCGTCGTCGTCTGCTTTGCTTTCCCCCACTTCATCATCAGCTGTTGCGGTGAACACCTCGGCAGAATCCCTCGCCAGCCACCAGCTCTCGCCCGCTCCCTCCGCCCCAAAGACAATAAACTCTGCCCCAGCTGCTATATCTTTCCCCGTCAGCGCCATGTTGACTCATGATGATGATGATGATGATGATGATGATGATGATGACGACGATGGTGCTAAAAATAGAAGCGGTCGGGGAGGGGGGAGAAAGCGATCGCCATCACCGGGTTATGAGAAATCGTCAGGGAGATTTGACGGGTCAAAGAATTTGTCGTCGTCGTCGTCGTCCTCAAAATATTTGTCGCCATCTGCGAAGAATTTATCGTCGTCATCATCGTCTGCTAAGAGGTCGCAATCGTTATCGCCCTCAGGTCACATGACCCACCATCATCGTGACAGCAATGTCGATGATGACAACGACAACAACAACAATAACAACAGCAACAACGACAACAACAGCAACAACAACAACATCATTTCTAGTATGGCTCATGTCAACGACCACAACGAGCGACTCGACTATCCCTATCATAGATTCGACCTCACACCCCCTGAGTCATCGCCAGTGTCATCGTTTGAGCGTTACTACCTCTCTGCAGCAGCGGCAGTTGCAGCACTTTCAGCGCCATCATCGTCATCTTCATCATCATCACCAGTGGGAACAGCATCAGCAACCGCAGCAACAGCAGCATCAATTACAAGAAGGGAAGAAGACAACATTCCCTTGCCCAGACACTGCAGTCAGATGTCCCCGCCCCCCACCGCCCACCACGCCTCCCTCATAGGCGCACAGTTAGCCCTCCTCAATGCTCGCTTCCTACAGCTGGGATACGCCCCATTCAGCCCGGGAAAGTACCCCTTCGACTCTGTATTCCTCCCTACTTTCCCACCAACCCCACTCCCCTACCACCATTACCCACAACTTTTTTCTCATAAACCTTTTGAGGCATTTGACTCTCCGCCAGCTTTTCCTACTTCAAAAAATCATGACCTACCTTTGCCAGTCAGTGGTGAAAGTGGTTATTTTGCAAAAGAAAGTAACAATGTAACAAAAGATCGTCAAAATATTTCAAGAACTGTAAGAGAAAAGGACAATTTTGCAAAAGAAAGTGACATTTTTACAAGACAGAGTGAAAATTTGACGAGAGAAAGTGGACGTATTTCTTCTGGGTCTCATGATGATAAAGACAGCAAATTGCTGCCAAGTATTTGGGAGAAGAACGCAGACAGCAATGATAGACCCACCACCACCACCACCACTGACATCACCACCACCACCACCACCACTGACACCACCACCACCAGCAGAGCTTCTGCAGACGACAGTTCCAGCGGTCACGTGATGGTGACGTCGCGCGCAGATTCCAGATCGCCGCCAGACGTCAAGACAGAAAGGCAGGAAAGCGACGACGACAATGATGATGACGTAATTGAGATATCGTGTACGTCACGACAACAAGATGGCGGTGACGAGGAAGAGGACCAGAAGTTGTCCTTCTCTCTCTCCCCAGAATCCTCCACTTCCTCCTCGTCAGATTGCTCGTGGAAGAATAGTTGTGAAAACAGTTAGTGAAAACCTCGAACAATTGGTCAGTGAAAACCTCGAATAGTTGGCCAGTGAAAATATCGAACAGTTGATCAGTCAAAACCTTGAGCAATTCGTTTGTGAAAAACATCTCTCTCATCATCATCAGTGAAAACCTCTGAAGACAGTGAGGGAAAACCTCGAATAGCTGGCCAGTGAGACTCGAACAGTTGTAAAAACAGTAAAAAGCATCGAATAGTTGGTCAGTAAAACTCGGACTGTTGTCAAGATAGTCTCGACAGTGAAAATCGTCAACAGTTAAGTCGATACTTGTCAACCTTTGCATAGCTAGTACCCACTTTTGCCACCTTTAAAAGGCTAAAACTTTCATATCGTCCACATGTGTTATTATGTTTTTCTTAGCGGGGCAGAAAAAAACAACAACTTATCACTGCCCTGTAAATCGAATCTTGTACTGGTGTTTGTGGTATCGCGGTTTGGCGCTTGACTGTCACATGCAGGAGACCCGAGTTCGATTCCCGAGTGGGGAGAAATTTGTATCGAGTATCTCTGGCTTTCTGCTGGGACATTGTGTCCTTTTCAGCCCGGGTCGGCCCTGAGAGGCACAGTCTGAAACCTGCTTCCTGACAGGGCTAAATTTTGTTGATGGAGGAGTAAAAACGCCTGCATAAAAAATTTAAAACCTTGAACTTGACCATAGGAGAAGTCATGACCTTGTCAAACAAATGCACTTTGAACTTGTCTATATAATGACCTTGTCTATAGCATGACATTTGAGTTTGTCTTTTTGCAAAATGATAAATTCTTTTAGTGTCGCGTCACAGGCACCCAGACGGTGCTGAAGCGGGACCACATGTAACCTAATACCGATAACAGTATTTCGTCCACAGACCTGAGACTGTACTAAGTCCGAGAGTGACATTTTTCAGGAGAGAGAAAGAGAAAAAAAATACTATTTCATTTTTAAAAAAAATTGTACAAACATTACGTAGCCTATTTTTCTTGCTTCATTCAACTTGTAGATTTTGAATTTTGTCGAAACATTTCTTGAACACTAGCAACTGATACCTGAGATGAAAGTCTGCAATAAATTCAAAATTCAAAATTCGAATCTTTTTTTTGTTTTTTTTGTTTTTGTAAGTGTTGTTTTAGGGCACTCGCAACTTCATAAGGTCATATCAGTGCGCGGGATACACCAAACATTAATTACAGTAGATCTAGGTAGGAAATTTTGAATTTTTCCCAGGTGGCGAACGAAGCCTACTCTTATCGATTTTAGACCACCAAGAGATCTTTAATGTGCGCAACTTACCCTCGGGATGTCCGAGATTTTTTGCCTTTATCCAAGAAGGCTAGGTGTAGATCTTTCCTACCAGAAGATCAGGGGTGTGGCTGAAAGACAGCAGTAAGAAGAAGTAGCAGTAGAAAGCCTGCAGAAAGAGTCAGGAGCCCAGAGGAGGGGGCAAAGGTGAGGGGGTGGGAGCAGAAAGAGGAGACGAAAGCGGACGACAGAACCTTGCAAGTGAGCAGGAAAGGAGGTGAAAGGAGACAATTTTAGAGAAGAAATTTTTTCGGTCACTACCCGGATTCGAACCCGGGACCTTTGAATGAGAGGCGAACACTTTAACTTCTAGGCTACGAGAGCGTCCCAATGTTGGGCTTGGTACATCTGAACAGCTGGCCGATGATTTGTATCGATCCTGATCAGAAATGACTAGTGATATGGGCTGACCTTTTGAAAAGTTCAACATTTTTAAAAAACATTTTGTTGACGACTTCTGAAAGGATGCACCAATGTATTCCAAGTTTTGAAACTAAACATGTTTTATTATGCCTTAATAGCACGAAAACAATAGATCGCATCGTTGCAAAGTAACGTTTTTCTCTTCGTCTTTGTTAATTAATGAATTTGAAATTATTGCTGTGGGTGGTTGTTGGGTGCTCTGGTGTGGTTTGCTCCTTCTTTCTTATCAAACATCTATCGTCTTTATCTCTCCTCCTTCTTTATTGCGTTTGTTACTCTCTTGTAACACTTCTAATCGTCGGCACTTATATGTATGTGGTATTATTGTGTTGCAAGTGCCGTAAAACTCGTACTAAAACTAAATCTAAATTATAGTTGAATTACGGATAGTCCTTGGGCCCATGAGACAAATTTGAAATAAAGACGAGAGTTATGATGACGTTGCAGCTTTGATAAATGTAGATCCGTTAGCTCAGTTGGGATCATGCTAGACTACGGAGCGGATGGGCCTGGTTCGAATCGAAGATTGGGGCGTTCTTAACTCGGTCGTTTTTATGAAATTTTCAACAGTCTCAACATATTTTGCTCGGTCTTACCAGAGATGGACGTTGAAATCGGAGGTCGCGCCTGCTAAATAACCTTATGGTGTTGATAGGGACGTTTAAGTTAAACACATAGACTCTACCTTACATCAAAACAAAACAAAAATCATGGAAAGACAAATGGAGATTGTTGTAGCTGTATGATTGCAAAGTCCAAATCTGTGAAACATGGTTTTGTTATCTTTTTTTTTGTTTCGTTTTGTTTTGTGTTTTTTTGTTGTTTTTTTTTCAATTGATGGCCTATAACAAAGTTGATATGTTGGATTTTTTTTGTATGTGTACATGTAATTGTATTATGAATTCTACGGTCTTTAGAATGGTGGAAAACACCCTTTTGACCTCCCAAAAAAGTACAAAAAGAAAATGAAAAATGACCACTCAATAAAAGCACGATGTGACTGAATGCATTCTTTGCTTTTTGAGAGATTGTGTGTCTGTGTGTGTGTGTACATGTGTGTGTGTGCGCGCGCGCGCGCGCGTGTGTGTGTGTGTGTGTGTGTGTGTGTGTGTCAATGCGTCTGTGTGCGTAGAGTGTGTGTATATAGCGTGTATGCCAATCTCAAATGCATTTGAAATGTCTTCTCTCTCTCTCTCTCTCTATCCCCCTCTCTCTATCTCTCTCTCTCTATCTCTCTCTCTCTCTCTCAGCTGTGCGTGTTGACGTGCGACCAGCCATGTT